AGTCACCACACCCAGCTGCAAATGTTATTTCCAGAGCAGTGGCTTCTAAGTGCTGGTCCTTGGGAAGAGCTGGGCTTGTGGTCTAACACTCACTCCCAGAGCTGGTGGAAAATGGAGATCTCTTACTGTAGAAGAGTTGGTCATGGTTAATAATTCAAATGCGTCTGCTGATAGAGGAGTCCATTGCACCGTCTTGTGGTCAGAATGAAGAAGCAGAATGGGGTGCAGCCAAGGAAAGCTGTGGGCTGATTCTAACATGAAGTCCATGTTTGTATAGCTCCCAGGCAAAGAATGGTTTTCACTTCTTTTTTTAATTTTTTTGAGATCGAGTCTTGCTCCGTTGCCCAGGCTGGAGTGCAGTGGCATGATCTTGGCTCACTACAACTTCTGCCTCCCAGGCTCAAGTGATTCTCTTGCCTCAGCCTCCCAAGTAGCTGGGACTACAGGTGCGTGCCACTATGCCTGGCTAATTTTTTTTTGTATTTTTAGTAGAGATGGGGTTTCATCATTTTAGCCAGGATGGTCTCGATCTCCTAACCTTGTGATCTGCTCACCTCAGCCTCCCAAAGTGCTGAGATTATATGTGTGAGTGTTTTCACACTTTTAAAGGGTAGTACAAAAGACAGAAACAAAAAACAATAAAGATGAATATGTGACAGAGACTAATATGGCCCACAAAGCCATCTGGCCCTTTACATAAAAAGTATGCTGAGCCCTGAGTTAGAGTGACAAAGATGGGCTCTGCAAATGTAATACAGAGAGGGAGAAGAGTAAGTTGCAGAACGGTATGCCAAATATAATATGAATTATACAAGGTTTAACAAACTGCACAAAATAGAACTGTATGTGTTGTGTGTGAATATGTGTGAGTGTGTGAGTTTTTGTGTAGTAAAAGTATAAAACATCTGGACACACACATGAATAGCTAATTGATGGTAGCTATTGTTTCTGAGGAGAGAGAACAGAAAATAAAGCTGGGCAGAGAAACATAGGCAATTTGACCTTTGCCTGTAATATTTTATTTTGTGAAGAAAGAGAAAGGAAGGGGCTGGGCACGGTGGCTCATGCCTGTAATCCTAGCATTTTGGGAGGCTGAGGTAGGCAGATCACCTGAAGTCAGGGGTTTGAGACCAGCCTAGCCAACATGGTGAAACCTCATGTCTACTAAAAATGCAAAAATTAGCTGGGCACGGTGGTGCATGCCTATAATCCTAGCTACTTGGGAGGCTGAGACAGGAGAATTGCTTGAACCCAGGAGGCAGAGGTTGCGGTGAGCTGAGACTGTACCACTGCACTTCAGTCTGGGTAACAGAGTAAGACTCTGTAT